ACGGCTAGGATCACACCAACCACTGATGGTGGACAGGGAGCTGACACGGCTAGGATCACACCAACCACTGATGGTAGACAGGATGCTGACACAGCTGAGGATCACCTTGCCTGCAAATGGAGGAACAGCTCTGAGCACAACTTCAGACTAGGGTCAGGAACAACGAATGCACTCCCTGAAATCCAGATAGGCGGGACCTCTTCTGCTATAAAGGCCCCACTCCTAGAACACAGAGGATCATGCCACCTAGAAAATCTCAAGAGTGGAGGGTAACACTCTCCGACCACAGCCAAGCAGCCCCAGATATCCTCACAGAACAGAGGACAGAGCCCAGCCCAGACTCCCACATTCTGACCAGGATCCTCCATCAGCTGCTATGGCGGAGGGGGAGCAGTGCCTCCTGGGGACCTTCGCTGAAGATGCTATAGAATGGAAAGATGGCCCCCTCTGGGAAGGGCAGGGACTTGGGTGTGCCGGAGCCTGTGGCGGTGCAAGGAGGCTGCTAACCCAGCGCCATCAGCTCTGTTCTGCAGTCACACTCCCATCTACACACATGCTCACATACATGCACATATATGGGCAGATGGTCACACAGAGGCAGAGTAGGGATCACACTAACCAAGGCCAGGATAAGAAGTCAGAAGGCACCGCAACCCCAAGTCTCTGGGTCTCTGTGGCATCACTGTCAGGCTCTCCATGGGAACACAAGTGCTCTGCTCACGGTGGGCGGGGCCGAGAGACACATGCGGAGCTGCACTGGCAAGCCTGGGTGGGGCCCCAGCCACCCCGCAGTGCAGGCCTCAGGAAAGGGGCCATCCTTGCACAGCCTAGATGACAGCACTCTTCTCCCCCTGGAAGGAGGTGCGAGAGGCTGGCCTGGCCAGCAGCAGCTCCTTCTCATGAACCAGGCTGTCAAGCAGGTCTTCCTGGCGGTAGTTGTGGTAAACCTTCAGGAACGCCAGGGTGGTGATCGCCAGCCAAGCCAGCCACGAGGCCCACAGGCCAAACTGCATGGAAGACAGAGCGGCGTCAGTGAGGGCGGGGGATTCATTGTCCACTGTTCGCTATACCACCTGCCAGCTCTAGCTCTGCGGGCAAGGGAAGGGTGCACTAAGGCCAGAGGCGGCTCAACATCTGAGAGCCCATGTACACCCGTATTTGGCTTGTTCTCTGCTGTGACTGCCATGTCCAATACCTACAAGGACCCAGGTTTGCATGGAGGCTGGGGTACTCTGCCATTTTCACCTGCACTGATGAGGAGGAGGAGGAGCAGGACCTGGGTAGCGCTTTCTTCCCACCCCGACCCACTGGGCTCTGCAGAGTACCTATAGATCAGAGAGCCCCTCTAGTCATGGGAATAAATTGACCTTTATCTGATGTTTCCAAACAGCTGAAGGGGAAATAATTAAATCAGCTCCAGGTCTGCACTGCATCAAACTAATTCTCATTTGAGCGTGTTTGTCCTCAGACTGTGCATGCCTCTGTCTAATTGGTCCAAATCAGTTCTAAAACATCTTCAGCTAAAGTTATGGGAAGGTCTCTTGGACAGTTTCAGTTCATCTCAGCAAGGAACTTTTGGACTTCTAAGGGCTTTTGGCAAAGACAAGAATCATCTCATTCCAGCCTTTGACACACCAGAGCTTCCAGGAGCCAGACTGGGGCATGGAAGGAGGTCGCAGAGGGTGACAGCCTCATGCGTGTGGGAAGGGACAGGTGTCCGTGTGCAGCCCCATCTAGGTGCCCTGAGACTACACCACCTGTCTAGGGGCACAAATGCAGACATCGAGGGATAGGAAAATCATAAAGCTTTCCCCAGGGCCCTCAACTCCCGATGTGTCTCTGTAGTTTAAAAGTCACATGAAAGGCAGGGTGAGGTGGGGCCGGCATTTCACCCTCAGACACAGCACCAGGTGGCTCAGGGACCTTCCAGCATTCTCTGAACACTCGGAGACACTCCAGAATCCAAACCCTGTCCTGCTGGCAGCCCCAGAGTCTATGCCCCATTTCCTGCACTTCCTCCCCAACCCCTGCACTCCCCTCTCCCCCCACCCACTCAGCCCTTTCCATCCCCTGGCAACTGAGTTCGCTCTGCATGTTTGCCCATGCCTCCTCTTCACCCCACACACAAGCCCTGCTCAGAGACCTGGCTCTCCCAGCCCCCCGGGGAGGGGGTTCTCCTGCTACTCCCACAACCTGCACCTCCCCAGATGGCCCCACCAGATCTGAGTCTGTTTTCCTGGGATCAGGAAACCTGTCTGTCTGTTGTGGTCCCTGCTCCCATCCCCAACATAACCGCTTCTCTTCCTGCCTAAAGCCCCACCTACCTGGGCGACAGCAAACTGGCGGTAGAAGGCAGAGTTGTCCACGTTCAGCTCCAGGTCCACGTCCTGGAACTTCTCACAGCTAAAAGAGCACGATGCCAAGTGGTTAGTGACGTGAGTCCCTGAGCCAAAAGGCAGCAAGCAACTAGCTGGGGAGCAGGGAACGCTCCCCACGAAAAGTGAGGGGAGTTTTATGTCATCTGAGAGGAGGGAACCTCAACTGAGAAAACGCCTACAAGACATTTCCTTAACTAGTGATTGATGGGCCTAGCCCAGGGTGGGTGGTGCCATCCTTGGGCTGGTGGTCCTGGGTTCTATAAGAAAGCAGGCTGAGCAAGCCATGAGGAGCAAGCCAATAAGCAGCATCCTCCATGGTCTCTGCATCAGCTCCTGCCTCCGGGTCCCTGCCCTGTTTTGAGTTCCTGACTTGCCTTCCTTTGATGATGGACTGCCATGTGGAAACAGAAGCCAAATAAACCCTTTCCTCCCCAGGTTGCTTCGGCCATGGTGTTTCATCACAGCAATAGTAACCCTAAGACAGAGGGAGCTGTCCCCAAAGAGGACTAAAGACAAATGCCTCTAGGAACTCCACTGTGAGTCAACTTTGATCCCTCATTGGGTGGGAGCTGCAAATCTTTCCAAGTGGCCCTGAACACAAGGGCCAGCCTCAGCCATCTTATCTGTCTGGTATTCAGGGGTCACAGGTTGCTCTGCCTAGTCCCTCAGTTCCCCGTTCTGAGATGGAAGTGATGTCCCCAAATTGCTCAGCGGCCCTGCACAAGAGTCATGGGGGCACCTTGAGGGCAGCCTCTACTCACTAACCATAGACTACTACTGCCACATAGTGGCGACAGGAGGGCTGAAACCAGCAAGTGAGGCAGGCCATGCCAACTGCAAAGCCCTGCATGATGCCTCTTGACTCACAAGGACCTTCCATGTGTGATGCTGTAGGCAACTAGACCAGAGAAAGAGGTGCTTGATGTTGGTGGGCAGGTCGTCGGGGGCACAGGTGGGCAACGCCTCAGACTCAGAATGGGATTCAGAAAGAAAAGCATCTTGGGATCCAGGTAAGGGGTGGGTCTTCTAGGGAGGTGACTAATAAAGCAGGGCCCGGGCATACCTGTGGGGCACAGTGCCCTTCTCCGTGATGGTGTCACACCACATGGTGAAGCCCACACTGACGATGGTGCTGGCAATGAAGACCAGGAAGACCACAAAGGCACTGACCAGGAGGTTCAGGAAGGCATAGAAGAAGGTGCTGCGGTGGAGCCAAGAGAGGGAGCTAAGGGAGACATCCAGGGTGCCACCCTGAGTTGCTCTCCTCGACACAGGGAGGGGACACATTCCCAGGTTTCCTGGTGAGCAACTGGGGTCCTGATGGGACTGAATGGGGATCCAAGGGCCTGCTTCCCTCTCCTCCACCGCCATCCCAGCAAATGTCCGCTGCTGAGCGTCCTGTCTTGTTCTCTCATGGGCCCAGGGTTGGGGCCTTCACACCACTGCTGTATTGGGAAACCAGGACCAAACCAAGAACCCCAGATATTGGGTCCCAAAGTCTGGGTGTCAGCACACACACTGAAAACACAAGATCCCCTTCTAAGGTCACCCACTCACATAGTCACTCACAGCTATGGCTCTAAGTCCCCTCAAATACACAGGTTGAAACCCAAAGCCCAAGGTGTGAGCACCAGGCCCTCTCTAATCCTTAAGCAGAGAAGGTGTAAGATGAGAAGACCCTCCTTCCTTCCCCTCTGCTGCCTGAGGTCCAGTGGCAGCCTGACTCCAAGTCACATGTTAACCCAGAAAAGGAGGATATGGGGGAGGTTATCACCCACCATACTCTCCAGGGTCACCCAAACCATGGGAAGTCCATAGCACAGAGCATGGCAATCAATAATGGACCCTGCCCACCTCCAGCCTGTGGTGGGCTTGATACCAGGTTCAGGCCAATGGTGCTCAGATTCTAAATAGAGTGACAAAAATGGCTTCACAATGGGAGACTAACAGATGAGATCTTAAGAAGTGGCTGACCTGACAGCCATATGCATTGATGATGGGCCCGTGTACCGATGCATGCATTCCACAAGCCTTCTTGACCATATGCCAACCGTGTGCAGGACATGGAGGGCCAAGGCATAGGGACAGTGTAACCCTGACTACCCAAAATAAATAAGCTAAGAGTAACTCAGGTCACGTCACCAACTCACCACCAATGACACCCAGCTGTCAGCAGGTGGAACCACCTGATGTCCCCAGAGATCACATGGGGCTTCCTGTGAAGGACACGCAGTCTTGATGACTACCGGGCTGGCTGACAGCAACACGCCCCAGACATCAAGGACAGGCAAGGAACGATGGATACCCTGACACTGCTCCACAACCCAGGGCTCTGAAGACCAATATCAGTGGGCAGAGGCCAGTGTGGTGCCCCCACTGCTGTGAGCAGCTATGTGCATTACCCGCTCACCCTGGGCTCATTTGCTGTGCTGTCCCTGGATCCTCTGGGCACACATGGCAGTACTTGGCCCTGCCCACCTGACACCTACACTGGTGTTCCTCTCAGCTGCCCCCATGGTTCCTCAAAGGCTGACCCTGGAACCAGGGCAGGATCTGACATCCACTGCTCTTATGTGGCCAGAGCAGAGACTTGGTGCCTTTCTCTTCCAGCATGGATCACAACGAAGACTTGATACACTTTGTCCCAGGTGGAAATGGGAAAAGGGAAAGGGGGACTTTAGCTTCCAGGGGCTGCCTCAAGCTAGCGTGTCCCTGCAAAAGGTCTCATCTTTTCCACAGGATCCCTAGATCCCCTGACCAGGAGTGGCGGCAAAGATACTGTTGTCTTGTGATGACTGTGTGTGTCTGTGTCTGTGTGTGTGGTGTGGTGTGTGTGTGGTGTGGTGCGTGTGAGGTGTGGTGCGTGTGAGGTGTGGTGTGTGTGTGTGTGTGTGTGTGAGGTGTGGTGTGTGTGTGGTGTGGTGTGTGTGAGGTGTGGTGTGTGTGAGGTGTGGTGTGTGTGAGGTGTGGTGTGTGTGTGTGTGTGAGGTGTGGTGTGTGTGTGGTGTGGTGTGTGTGAGGTGTGGTGTGTGTGAGGTGTGGTGTGTGTGTGTCTGTGATGTCTGTGTGTCTGTGTGTATGATGTATATGTGTCTGTGTGAGTGGTGTGTGGTGTGTGGTGTGTGTGTGGTTTTTGTTGTTGTTGTTATTTTTGTTTGTTTGTTTGTTCATTTTTTGTCAACTTTACCCAAGTTAGGGTCATTTGGGAAGAGGAACTCTCAACTGAGAAAACAGTTCCACCATATCGGCCTATGGGACATTTTCTAGATTAATGATGGATATGGGAATACCAGTCTACTCTGCACATTGCCACCTCTGGGCAGGATTGCTGGGTTGTACAAGAAGCAGGTGGAGCAAGCCATGGGTAGCAAGCCAGTAAGTAGTATTCTTCCATGGCCTTTGCTTCAGTTCCTGCCTGCATGTTCCTGCCTCTGTGTTCCCGCCCCCGTGTTCCTGCCTCTGTGTTCCTGCCCCCGTGTTCCTGCCCCCGTGTTCCTGCCTCCATGTTCCTGCCTCCCTTCATGATGGATGAACTAAAAGTTGTATAATGAAATAAAGCCTTTCCTCTGAGCCTTGCTTTCTCCCGAGTTCAGCACTAAGAGCCCTCTTCCAGAGATCACTGTGGGTGAAGGACTGTGAGCAAGCAGCCGTGCAGTCTGCAGTGCTCACTGATCACCCGTGCTGTCCAGGACAGACCTGGGCCGGGCTGGCCTGAGAAGGACCCACTGCTCCTCCAGCCCTCAGTGAGCTCATGGGCAAGCTGTACCCAGGCATAAAGTCGATATTTTGCCAGAAACTTAGGGTGTACAGAGTGGGAAACTGAACACCGAGACTGAAGCTGGGGTACTTCCATGCCCGCCCACAAAGGGAAAGGGACACCTCAGCACGTGGAACTCTCCTCTCCGGTAGTCTGAGAATAGAGGATATCAGGTGCTCACTCAGCGCTCACTCTGGCTGTGCTGCCCCCACCAAGGCAAATGAGGCAATCAAGGGCAGCTAGAGCCAAGAACCCACAGGCAGAAGCAAGGACACAATCCTGTCCATGTACAGAAATCCACCTCATGGGACAGCTGAGGCTGAGGACTTTGGACCGGGAATGTCTCTGCTCCCATTGGAGAGCCTCCTGCAGTCTGCCCAAGGTCCCTGTTCAGCACTGGTGTCCTCAGTGCCTGACAGTCCTAACTACCCTGATGGAGCATCCAAATTGTTGCCTTCCACTGGCCTTTCTGAGGACTGAGCTTGGCCAATGTAAGACTGACCACAGCCCAGCATCACATCCTGTCCATCTCAGGAGGAGTAGACCAGAGTTCCGAGATTTCTAGACAATACAGGGCATACACACTTTGCAGCACCTGGCTAGCCCGTGTCCCTGAAGTAAGTCTAGTGTAGCAGGGCTGAGACACGGGTGCTCTGAGCCCAGCTGCCAGGCCACGCTCGGTCACCACCAGCCAGAAGTCTCTAGCTCTTCTAGGTTTTGTTTTGTTTTGTTTGGGAGTGAGGGTTGTTTTGATTTGGTTTTTGATGTAACATGCTAAACCTTCTAGCTCTTTGAAAAACTTGATGCGCCCAAAGTCACACCTGGATCCTCTTTCCTGGATTTAGGATGCCACCCTCTTCTGTCCCTGAACACACACACACCAAGGACAGGATCACACAGGGCAGTGAGTAGAAAGGCACAGCACACACAGGGTTAACCCATCTTTCTCTCACTGCATCTCAGTGTGCCCAGCCTTGGATGTGCTGTCTCCATGACGACAGTTATCCTGGGAAGCCCTGGGAGCAATCTGAAGGCTGAGCGACAGGTGTGAGCAGGCAGATGGGTTATGTTAAGCCACTGCTCCCCGGTCCGTCACTCACAGACTGCTACCAACGCCAGCTCAAAGGGCTGCTCCGGAGCAAAGCCTTAGGCACATGGCTCACCTGGGCCCTCCCATCTCCCTGAGAGCACATCCGTGAAACTATACGTGGTGGGGATTAGTCACTGAAATGGTACCCCACCCTCTGCAACGCTGCCCTGAACCCTGCCTCTCTACACCTCTAAGTCTGTGCAGCCAGAGCCTGCTTAGCATGGCAGACATGCCCTATACAAGGAAAGGCTGGTTCCCTTGCCATCGTCTATGGCCCAATGCTCAGCATCAACCGAGAGAGAGTCCCTGAAGTAGCGACAGCGCGACACACACCTCAGCACTGACTGGGAGGTGCCCCGGTGGCGTCTGGGACTGGCACCTATCCTCAGAATCCGAGCGTGCCTGGAGCATTACCAGACAAGCCCTCCAAATCCAGAGACTGGCAAGCCTGCTATCCAACCTCCACAGCTGGACATCCAGGGGCCCTAGTAGCCATTGTCTACTATGTGAGCTCACTGCAAATGCCTGTCCTGCCTCCTTGAGCCCCCCCCCCTAGTTCCCTTCGATGACACAGTCTGACTGGCAATTGTGCTGGAAATCCCCATGTTCTCTCTCTCTCCGTGGGGCACCTTACCCAAGCCAGCCTCTGCAGACCCAACCTCCCCAGGGAAACTGAAGGGCTGACTCAACTCCTGGCCAGCCCACTAGTCTACAATCATAACAGGGCCAGCAACGTAGCCACAAAATAATTGCAAGCCTCATGGTCCAGACATTTTTCTGTCCCTCTCCATTGTACGGCGACTCCTGTACTCCAGGCTCTGAGTGCAGCCGGATGACAGACTAAGAAGGTGTGCGTGCACTGCCTCATCCCCCTGGGTGTGATGAGTGTCCATGGCCTGGGCTCACTCACCAGAGCTTTGCCCCTGGTCCCACAAACTGGGCTCTGTTGAGCACTGACAGCACAGTTGGCTGACCACCACCTGGGTTGTACAGGGGTGTACAGGGGACAGAGGGAAGGACAGAAGCCAGACAGCCACTTGACCCTCGCCAATAATGCCCGGTAGCCAAGCAGGACTATATGTCAGATGTCCCTGGAGAAGACACGGCTAGAATAGCCATGCTGGTCTGTGGAAGCCCAAACAGAAGTCATGCTTGGGTAAAAACAAGTGAGCACCAAGAGCTGAAGCAGAGGACAAGAAAACCTAATGGTCCCATAAGAGGGCGTACGAGCTGCCCCGACCTGGCCTCGGGGGTGGGTCAAGGCCATGCTACTGCTCTGTAAAGTATTATGGTGTGCCAAGTCGCCTACAGTCTCCCAAATCCCTCCAGAGGACTCAGTGGGTGTGCGACTGAAGGGCAGCACCTGCTTGTACGTCGGTCAGCCCAAAGCATGGCTCGTAAGGGAAAGCACACCGAAGGAGCCCCAAGAGCTGGGAACTCCACGCCTCACCTTTGTGTCTTCAATATGGGCTTGCGATAGCCACTGCACTAGGCAGATGTCACCTACAGTGACTAAAAGAGGAAGCTGGGGTTCCGGGGTCTGCAGCTTAAACAGTGCAGTACAGTCTACCCTGTGTGACCAAGATGCCATCTGCAAGCTCGGGGGCTCCTCACTTCCTCATCTCAGTCCCTGGTGTCCCACACAAACCACACATCTGGGTCCCCTCAGATCCATCTGACTAGACCATGTGTACAATGAGGTTGCCTCTCGCAGGAAAACCCAGAAGGATGGAGGATGTGTCTGGGCCATCTTTCTATCACGCCATGTCTCCTGTCTCCACGTTCCACCACCTGCCCAAATCAGCACACAATGAGGTGACTTCCGGGTTGGTGACAAGAGCTCTCAAGTTCATCTGGACAGTGGAAGACTGGGCCAAGGAGGGGTCTTGAAGAGGGACAGAGCTCTGTCCTCCAGCTGACCAGCCTCACAGACAGGAGTTCGGTTCACATCCCTTAGCAGCTCCTAGGACTGTCCCTGGCTTCCAACAGACTCCCATGGAAAACCTTAGCATAATGAGTTGAACTGTATCACCTCAAAGCCACATCCAAGTCCTAACCTTGGTACCTGTGAACATGGTTGCCTCAGGAGAAGCAGGGGACAGAAACAGGCAAAAGGCTATTCAAGGACAGAGACAGAGACTGGAATAATCCAGCCCCAAGCCAAGGAACACACAGGGAGCTGGGGTCACCAGGAATAGAAATGTAGGAAGACTTCCACGGAGCAACTCTCAGGACACCTTGATTCTAGACTTCCAGTACCTCATCCATGGTCCTAGCAAGAGCCCCCTTCACCCAAGCCCCTGCATCCTCACATCCATCCTTAGAACCCTGTGCTCGTCACCCACCTCCCTGCTACCACAAATGTGTGAGGTGGAACACAGGTTGCAGGGGGCTGGATCTGGGGATCCCCTCTCCAAGCAGAAGCACTGCCTCTCCAGGACCCAAGAAGCCTCAGGCAAGGAGAGGATGGGCTCTTGGTTGCCACTCACTGAGGACACGGTGTGATATATGTTCCACTGGCTCCAGCAAAGGGACAAAGCAGCATAGAGTGAAGAAAATCTGGAGGTGCTGGGACCACAAAGCAGGACCCTACTCACCCACATCCCCTACACACACACACACACACACACACACACACACACACACACACACACTGAACACGCCTTCAGCCAAGGCCAGAATTAAGGACCTCCCCAGACACCCTCTGTTATCTTTTCCCAAGACAGGGTGGCGGGAATAGAGGACTACCCTATCTTTCCAAAATGTGGTTCCTTCCCCCATCCACAGGAAAGGGGTGTAGGCCGAAGACCGTTGCAAGTGGTCCCAGGTTCCCAGCGAGTGTGGCCTAGCTGAGTCAGAGAGCCCAGGCCTGTGGCCATGACACTGCAACATCTGTACCCCAAGAAGTCAGGGCCAGGAAGCTGGAGTGATGCACGCTCCAGAAACAGAATGAGATCACGTGGGTTGGACAGCCGGCCTCATGGCCCCTGGGCCTGTGTGTAGACAAAGGGCAGTCTGCTTAAAAGTCCTGAGTGTTGATACTTGCAGGCCTCTGCAGCAGGAGAGGTGGAGGAACTCATGTCCCCGGGATAGGAGGGACTGGTAGGGAGCCAGAAGACTCGTGAGTGCTGAATCTGTCTGTTCTGAGCTGCTGAGAGGCCTCCACTTACCCCTCGTGTCCCTTGCAGAGGAAGAAGAGCGTGCGCCATGCGTGCGCAGCGGCCAGCAGCAGCGACAGGAGGCTGGCAAGCAGGCTGAAGCGGCAGGCGGCTGGCGGGCCCCACTCCTGCACGGTGAAGCGCTCCCGCCCCTGCATCGTCAGGTTGGCGCTCAGCCACATACCCTCGGTAAAGAGCAGGCAACGGCCGCGAAAGTCATGGCCATTCTCCGACAGCGGCACCACCACCACGAAGCTGAACAGGAAGGCCAAAAAGTAGCAGACGCACTGCGCGAAGAGAAAATTGTTGAGCGCCATGGCGGTGCCACGGCTGGGGAGGCCGCGAGCCGGGAAGGCGACCGCGCCGGGAGCCGGAGGCCGCGAGTCACCGGCACGGCACAGGCCTGGCCCGAACCGCGTGGGAGGATGCGCAGTGACGGCGCTTGCGGGTCTCTAGCGTTGCACGCAGACGCGTGCGCACCGGCCGAGCGTGGGGCGCGCCTGCGGTCAGAACCGCGGACAGCTCCCATTGCGGCGTGGGTAGACGGGCTGTGGGCCAGGCGATAGGGGACAAGGCAGGAGTTCCTTGAAGGGAATGTGCCATGGGAACCTGGCTGAAGCACCAGCAGCTCTCAGCTTGGGAGAGAGACGCAAGCTGTCAGTGCGGGTACCAGCAGTTTACCAACTGAGGAGGAGAAGGATGGAGACAAATTTGCAGTCCACACTGTGGTCACTCCTTTGCCAAGGCCTTTGTGAAGTATATGGAGGAGGGGGGCAGAGAGCAAAAGAGTCAGGTCCATAGGAATGAAGAGAGAAAGTAGGGATGGTCCAGGTATCCCTGGACTGGAGTGGGCCTGTGAGCTGTTGGCGCTTTGAGAGCCATGCCCTCAACCCCCATACAGTTCTCTGTGTGTGTAAGATAAATAATGGTTGCCCTGGGCACCTCATTAAGACCTCTTTGCTGAGATGGAACTACGGGTGCATTAATTAATAGAATTAATGACTTTTCTAGTTTCCCTTAAGACCAAGTAACCATTAGTCCAATTCCCAGAATGAACGAGCCCCAGAGTCCTCCTTCTGGATATAGATTACATCAGCATTTTTTCTTCTTTGCTGCTGGCACTAAAAATTCTCCTTGTTTTATTGCTCAAGTAATATGCACTTGTTTTTCATTTCAATAAGAAATGTGTGAATATAAAGATTCCACGTTCCCTCCTCTTTCCTCCACCCTGTAACAACATCACCACTTGTGATAATCTGATGTCTATTTATCCAGACATTTTGCTCATAAGCACACACACACACACACACACACACACACACACACACACACACAAAGCTTCACACTATAGCCGTGTCCACGGATGCTTCACTCATCCAGCAATGCGCAGCGGCATTATTCCCTGTCAGCACAAGCAGGGCTGTGACGTTCCATGATCAAAACTGTTCCACGGTGTATGTGATGATCCCTCTCTTCAGGGGGCACCGAATGTCTCCAGTGTTGACTGTTTCCGTCCTGCTGTGTGATATCCTGGTGCCTGCGTTTGTGTGGTCATGCAGGCAGCACACTCCTAGAAGAAGAATACCTGGAACATTTGAAGTGGTGTTGGCGGGAATCACCAAATCCATCTCTGACAATATTGTACCCCTCACACTCACCTGCAGACGCTTCCCCCAGCAGGCTTTCCACTTGATTGGTGTTGCCTGGGGGAAGATGGCTCGTCGATTTGTAACTCGTCTTCTGCTTATCACTGGAAAGCCAAATATCTTCTTACACTTGTTACCATTTGGTATCCACCTCTACACGTAACAAATTCATTTTGCAATCTCTTGAGTACATACACGGGAGACCAGGCACGAGGTCTGTGGCAGCTACCCTTCCTTTCCTCAGAGAATTCATCCAGGGTTTCATCCACTGTCACGTTCCCCAGTTCAAACCAGAGGGAACATTTGGGAAGTTCAGCCTGTCCCAACCTGAACACATGTGGAAATTCTATCCATTCATAAGTACTTGAAGGTTTGGACAAAAAAGGGGGGGGAGGGACAGATACTCATGTATGAGTTCCATTTAAACTTTAAAAAAATCAGGGACTGGAGAAATACCCAATGGTCAAGAGCACTGGCTGTTCTTCCAGAGGACCCAGGTTCAATTCCCAGCATCCACCGGGAATTGGTGGAGCACAGTCATCTGTAGCTCCAGCTCCAGAAGATCAGGTAGATCAGGAGTCCTCTTCTAGCCTCTGCAAGCTCCAGGCAGACATGCAAGCGTTGCACATAGGTGCGAGGAGAATGCTCATGCACATAAAAAAATATTAAAATTTTAATTTTAATTTTTAAAAAATCAGAGATTCTCTTAGTATTTGTATCAGTCCAGATTCTCCGGAGAAACAGAGTCAACGGGATCAACAGGATGATTATGCACAGATGTGTGCAATATAATGTTGATATATGTTTGACAGAGACAAAGACAGATCCGGAGAGCTATCTTAGGGATTCTTTCACATGGCTGTGAACACTGACAAGCTCACAATTTGCTGGGTTATCAAACTGGGGGCCAAAATAAGAGCTGATGCTTTGGTTCAAGTTCAAGGTCATTCTGATCCAGACTTCCTGCTTGTCCCAAGTAGCCAGGTTTGTTCTCTACAAGCTTTAACTGGTAATGAGAACCACTCACAGCATGGAGGGAAAACAACTTTAGTCAATTGGTTCAAAAGCTAATTTTATCCAAAACTATTCCCATGAAACTTCTGCACATCTGGGTATCTTGTCCAACTAAGTTAATCCATAAAATTAACCATCCTACTAACATAGTTTCAATCTATAGAAACTGTGGAAAACTTCACCATTATATTTTGAGATGTGGCCTCTTTATGGTTCCCTATGTGGCCTGGAACTCACTGTGTAGACAAGGCTGGTCTTGAACTTAGCGCTCCACTGCCTGTGCTACTATTAAAGATGTGGCATCACCACACCCACCCCTTGTGATTCATTTTTTAAAAGCCAATATTACATTATCTGAAAAACCTCAGAATGCTGAGGGAAACAGAGTAACAGTAAATTGCATTTATAAATATCTATGCCAATTTGGAAAAATATTAAGTTGAATTCAACTCAATGTATTAATAAGGAAATATGGATAAGTAAAATTTATCCTACAAGTTTAGCAAGAAGAGCTAAACTGTAGGAGACTTGCCAACAAGTACAGGGAAAGGCCTGCATTCTGCGTCAGGGCACATCTGAAAGCTACTGTGTGTCACTGAGTATCCCTTTCAAATCCTCCAATTCTGGGTGAAAAATAGGAGGAGACTACCCGAATATGATAGTTTGTCTTTAAGACATCAAGTTTGTACCTGTTCAGATAAAAACAAGACAGGAATGTTCATTGTCATGGCTACGGTTGACCATTTGTTTGACGGTTCTATTTAGTGAACAGAGACAAGAAAATAAGATTCATAGTGTTTCCAAGGAAACAAGTGAAATTATCTTTACTGCAAGATAATGTGACTTTGCACCAAGAACTCTCAAACTACTCTACTACAATAATTAGAATTTCCAAGAAGACTTTGCAGGATGCTTGGATACAAGACAAACATACAAAATTCAATAGCCTTACTCTAAATGAGCAAGTGAGTCGTGTTTCCTGGGAAACAGACCAAGGGTTCACAAGCAGCAGCATAATGGTGCTGCATGGTACAGACCTGGCTGGAGGGATCCTTTATGAGGTAGCCGTGACAGGCACACTCTTTTCTCTTTAACCTTTCCCTGTCTCCAGCCTGTGGTTCTGGGTTGAAACTAGCTCAGGTCCAGAAATGAGAAGTCCCGGTGTCTGTGCTCAGAACCATCCTGTTCCTCCTATATAAGGAGGATGGAGAGACAGTACCCGTGTTAGAGATACTGCTGGGTTGACCATCTCCATTGCTCCCTGTATGCTCTCATTCCAATTCACCTCCTTGGGGTACCTGAGCCCACTCTGTACCCGAGAATTGAGTGTTTCTTCCATGTACCTACAGGGGGCGCCATTGGTGCAGGTGTCTTCCCTGGTGCAGCCACACAGCTCTGGCAAGCAGAGTTCTACAGCCACCCTCTTGGGACACAGGCCTCAGCTGGATGTTCACATTGAACATCCCGTGTCTGAGCCCTTGGCCCCTCCTCCCCAGTCTGCCTGAACCATCCTGGCATTTCCACCTCCTGTAGGGTAGATGCCCGTTTCCCAAGCTCCTAGTAAAATGCATTTTCTCTTGTTGCCACAACAGATTACGCCACACTGAGTATCTTGGACAACACGGACCCAAGTATTCTCTGATACTCTGGAAAAACAGGATCGAAACTTGGCTTATGCCTTCCTTCTGGCGTTTTAGGAGAGGATTTTCCTCACCTTTCCCAATTTCTTGGTCCTTAGTTCCTGACCCTCTAGTTCCATCTTCAAAGCCGGTCATGCCTGCTAGGTCCCTCTGAGGCTCCTCCACCTCAGTGGTCCTCTGCAAGAGAGAAGGTGGCCTTGTGGACATCAGGTCCAGCAGGAGGGTTCTCCAGGCAAGTGTTCCCCTACTGTGCCCCACCCTTCAGCCCTCTTACCTTAGTCACATCTACAGAGCCCCCTACAGTTTGGATGTGAAGCATCCCCAAAAGGCTCATGCATTGACGGCTTGGTTCCAAACTGGTGGATTCAACCACTGAGAGGCTTTTGGGAACTCTGTCTTCTTGGGGCCTTTGCGGTCAGACCAGTTGTGAGCACACGACTCTTCCGGGTGCGACTCTGCTAATACCTCTCATGGAAAGCGGAGGCTCCAAGGTCTCTACCCTCCCCCAGGACAGGTAAGTGATTAACAGTTGCTGGGGAGGGAGATGCTTCCTCAAAGTAACCCCAATTAAACTCACTGCTTCATCAAGCTAGACTTGGGCAGACTATTTCTGTGCTGCCCTCTGGCATAAATAGAAATAGACTCCCCCAGAAAAGGTCACGAAACACTTGGCACCCAATAGGGATCGACAGAACCAAATAGGAATTTGGAAGGAGCAGTCATCACACTGACCCTTATGTGAGTGATAAGACAAGTACCTGAAGAATTAACCATCCTTGGGAATGGACGCCATCATCCTTCCCTATGTGACATGGAATGACATGCTTCTTGCTGCCATGGCCGTGGCATTGTC